ATTCCTTGAACTTTGTATGCCTCTCTCGTTGGCCTTGTTTAGCTTTACAAGTTCAGTGATTCGCATTAGAAGCTAACAACATCGGCCTGCATGTTTGGTAAGAAGAAAGGTGTTTTTTTAATATTTTGTATGGCGTTTATTTATTTAGACTGAATCCATATTTGACGTGCTGATGGATCGTCGTATTTCTTTCCCTTCGGGATTGTTTCAAACAAAAACTTTTGATGTGGTTAAAATAAATTTTGACACAAAACCAGTGACCGAGCATAACAGTTATTGATGAAAATTGTCATTGAAAAATTTACTATGAAGTAATTGTTCTACAACTGAGTAAAACATACCAATCGATTTCTTTTTTCATCGAGAATCACATTTAAAAAAAATTGTATTTGTGATTTTTATGCAAAATTAAAAAACAAACAAAACAACTATTTTTGAATGTTATTTTATAAATCCAAAATAACAATTATTTTTGGTTTTACTCTACATAATCTTCTAATAACAGTTATATTTGATTTTTATATTAAATGTCTTAGAAAACAATTACCGAAGACTTTTATTTATAAAAGTCATCAATAAAAATCAGTCAGTGACTTTTACTTTTAAAAGTCATTAATATAAATCAGTCACCGACTTCTATTTTTTAAGTCATACGTCTTTATCATTTTTCGCAGTAAAGAAGGTGTTGGAGAAAACAAGTTTACTACGATTTATACAAATGACTTTTATAAGTATGATTTAAAAAATAAAAGTCAGTGACTGATTTATATTGATGACTTTGAAAAGTAAAAGTCACTGACTGATTTTTATTTATAACCTTTATAAATAAAAGTTTTCAATAACTGTTATCTAAGACATTTATTTTAAAAATCAAAAGTAACTGTTTGCAGATTATTTAGATCAAAAGCAAAAATACTTGTTATTTTTTATTTATAAAATCAAAATCAGAAATAACTGTTATTTAAAGAGTAATTAAATACAAGTAAAAAATTGCTGTTTTTTTTTAATAAAAGTTGTAACTGTTTCGGTCCCTGCACAAAAAAACCGCCGAGTTGTAGATTAACATAATTTATTTAAGTTATGTTATATCATGTTTTATTTATTTATTTTTGAATATCCACTATTTATAAATCTGTATTTTTTACATTTAGCAATTAAATTATCTTATCCCCAAATTTTCTAACGGCATGTGTGGAACGCAATAGCGGTCAACCCTCGGCAGGCAATGGCAAACCTCCGACAGCATTTCAGCCGTGAAAAACGGCTTCTTATAAAAATGCCGTTCGGAGTCGGCGTAAAACTGTAGGTCCCTCCTCTTTGTGTGACAACATCAAGGCGCACGACAAAAATCGTAGAAGAACCTCGACCAAAGACTAACATATTGTATGCGCGCCAATCTATTATTATCATTAAGTATGCAATGCGCCCAGTTACTTAGTTAGTTAGTTAGTTAATTCTTGCGTGTAACAGAAGAGACGACGCAACCTGAAAGATCTTTTTCTCGGAGCGGAGAAGAACTTGGCTTCACTTCGTATTTCTAAATGGCGTCTGATGGCACAGAAGAGAAAAAACTTGTGTTGCCTTTTTAGACTCGCCCAATATAAAAGGCAGTACATGCTCCGTTTGATCGGAGACACATTACCTCTAAGTTTTTCGATAAAAAAAGTACAGAATCGGCAACGATCAATACGAAGAAGGTAAAGTCGTTCCCACGACAGTCGGGTCTACGTAACCGGAACGACCCAGATTTATATCTGGCCAAGGACTGTCACTCCAGCAACACTCCACAAAAAGTCTTTGGGGAATTTGTATGCTGCTACAACAACAACAACAACAAGGTAAAGTGCAGTTTTCTCGAGTGCCTGTTACATTTAACTTACCTTTAAACACATCGACGTCCCCAAATAATAACAAGCAATCCTAGTGAAACAATCTTGTTTTATTTGCACTGAAGGAAAACATTATCGGACAGAATAATAATTTGTCTCACCTAAGTAGTTTTTACGACCAGGTGGCAAAGCAAACAAAATAGCTATTTTCAGCAACTAATAAAAATGACATTTGTTATGTAGAACTAATAACGATGAGCCAACATGCAAGATATAAAGCGGAATAGTGAGAAGCTGTAGAAAATATTAGTTTAATATTGTGGAAGATGCCACACAGTTGACGCAAAATTGCTAACATCATTGCCGGCATTAGTTACGGCTTCAAAATAATCTACTGCATTGTCATCATCCATCATGCTTATTGCTTGGCTGTGCGCTTCATGGAGACAAGTGGGCTAGGATGGAAGACGCTTCAGTGCATTCAGTGCAATGAGGAAAAATGTGCGTGTTATAAATACATACATATATAGGTATGTAAGCTTGCTAAATATGTATGTATTCTTGTATTTATGAGCAAATACTTTGAGGCGGAGGCGAGTCTACGCGATTATCTACGCTCACTTGCACCACCCACCTCACATTGTAGTGTGTTAAAAATAAGTCCTTGCTGCTAGAGTAGGAAAATTTAAAACACGCAGGTTACTGATATACACTCAAAACATTTGGAGTACCTACTTTAGTAAGTTAATGGTTTTGATTTCCATTGAATCTCAGCTTTGGCCATCCAAGCGTAAAACAGATTTTTATTTTTGTAAATACGTGGGGGTGGATATGAATGTTGGAAACTGTTTGGTTGATACCAAATGATTGTAAATACTAAATACACACATATTTACATATATGTATACATGTGTGCTTCAATGGAAATATTTGGAAAATTGATTGACAGAAGCTGGTTACATCCTAGCAATGTGTCGCCTCTGCTGCTGTGTTATATCTACGGCTCCAAACCAGTTGCTAGATCTGACTAAATCTAAAGTGACTTAGTATAATGCGGAAGCGTCGATATGTATAAGTAGTTATCACTTAATATTTCTTTCAATTTCAATGAGAAGTATTAAATGAAAAATAACGAACGATTTGGATGCCCTTTGGCTGAATTTTATAACATACTAGCCGGCCTCGTTTGCGCGAGGCTTCACCAATAATTACTGTGGCTCAATTTTAAGAATAATTCATAATAATTTTTTAATCTAAAAATGCTCGCTTTAGGGCAGAGGTTCCCAAACTTGCTTTTCGCGTAGACGCCTTTCAAAACTTTACTTATTTCGGTGGACCTCCCCTGCTGCCTTTCTAACATATTCCCTAAGCTCATCAAAAACTGTGAAGATTAGATCTAACGATAAAAATTTGCATCGTGGGTGAGTTCCGAAACTAAATTCGGAGTGGCAAAAATAAAAATAAAATATTTTCTTGCGTTCTATTTATTAAAATAATGTGACTACACATTTGCAGTTTACAAAAAAAAAAAAACAGTGCTCGTAAAGCCATGAAATTGTTATCTCTCCTCACTTGTTCGGCTCGCTCCTGAATTTGCATGTGACGTATTTGCAAAATAGTTTATTTGTGTTGATGGCATCGTTTTTATTTTTATCGCTCCGAATTTTTGAAGTGAAGCGAAAAATATTCATCACTCACATTTTTAAAACACACACCTTGAAACACATAAAACCACAAAGCTTCTTACGCCAAACTTTAAATTCAGAAACTCACAAAAGAGAAAAACCGAATCTAGAAAAATCGACTTAAATAGAGGGCTGGCCAATCAATGCCTTAAGTGCAACTTGGCTGTTACTGCAGACCACGTTGTCTATGGCTCTGGGGATTGCAAATACTTCAGCTGGAAGACCGAAGCATATTCCGTAAGAGAAAAGTGAAGTTTATCTCAAGTCCCTGCCGCCAGAAATTTCCGCCTCGCCACACTCAGTGTTACACACCAACAACCGTTTCTCTTTTGTTTGCAGGTGGCCTTTAAGACCTCCCCCGCGTACGAAGACACAAAGTAACGCTAAGTGCAGCAGTGCGTGAAGAGCTCTATACACCACCCAAAAAAAAATTAAAGTTAAATAAAGAGGCTATCAAGCAACCATTTTGGTTCTTTACTATCGAAACCAGATACCTTTGTTGTGGTGGGACCCCTGGGGGTCACTTTGGGAATCACTGCTTTAGGGGAACATATCGCACACAATCTTCAAAAGTGACACAACTCACACGTTCGTCAGAAAAGGCGAAAAACTATTTCGCAGCACATGCTAATCATATGGACAAGGGAGAAAAAAATTTGCTCCAGATTTTACTTAAAGGTAAATAAAGGCTCTGTGTACATTTTTAGTGCATTATTTCAAAAATGTCAAATTTTGAGTTGTGTCACTTTTGAAGGTCGTGTGCGATATTTTGAATAAATTTACAGCTCTTACTAATTTGGTGGAGTTCAAAAACGTCAAAAATTTTATAATTTGGTGAAACATCCTAATGCAATCCCTTAATTATATACATACGTATGTTTGTATGTATGTATGTACTTATCGCATTTATCACTTCATATCCCTTTTAATGCAAAAAATTTAACTGAGTCAGGCGTATCTCCCTCCTCCTTTCTACTCTGAAGAGTCATACAAATTTTGTATATACATACATGCCGCTTAATTGCAGATTTTAGTAAATGAGTAATATGAAATACAATGCACACACTCACAATGTAAACTTTCCAGTTTCAGTTCAAGTATTTAACAAAAGCCAAATTATGTATACAGATTTTAAAGGGCCTGACTAATTAATTCGCACGAAAAAAAGGTAGACAGCAACGATCAACAGGTATGTATGTAATTCGCGCATGCTTTTGCTTACCTGTGGTTACATACATACTTACATACATACATACATATATGCATGTCTCATCAGCAATGATAATTTTTTATTCATTTATTTATTTATTTTTTTGATGATTACAAGAAAAAGCAATGACATTGTCGCTGTTGTTAATGCAAGTTAACAAACCAAAAGAGCACACACCCACTTAAATAAACAAACAAACAAACCGGCATGCGCGCGTACATCTGTATGAGCAAATTGTTACAAGTGTATATCTACAAACATGACATGATAACCACTAAACGCTCGAGGCCACTCACCACTATTCAATAACATCTCATACTTGAAATCAGTTGAGGAACTTCATTGTGATCGCTACGAGCGGGCGAGCGCATTTCCTGGTGATTGATTGGCTTGAGCTCTGTTTTTTAGTAACTTTAATTCAAATTAAGTTTATAGACAACTTTTAAGTTAATGCTTTCTTTGCGGTAATGTACAATTCGGTGGCTTGCATTTGCAATATTATACATCCGTGCCGTAATGAAATCTCCGGTACTTTCATCTTGTTCCAATGGATTTTAGCGGGCATTGCGGCTATTGTTAAAGTGATACGGCCAGTTTGGTGGATTTGTAAGTAAATGCAGCGTATGTACTATTTACATATATTTAGTAATTAAGTTTAATGATTAAACATCATTGCGCACACACAGTTGGAGTACGCTCGCATGTGCCACTGAGAGATGAGGATTACAATACAACTTGGTTGTATATGGCGAATGGGGATGGCGAGGCTGAATTGGCCTATTTGCTAGAACCACCGCCGGAAATTGAACGCACTATGCCGATGTTTGTGCAGTTCGAGTACTATGGCAGGTAAATACGAGCTAATATGTGGTGATTTTATTTTCGTTATAATTATCGAAACATTAATCGATAACGATATTTAAATGTTTATCGATGTGTTATTTTTGATGAAATGTTTAGTATTATTGAAACTGCGATTGTCCCTGTATTTATCGGTTTTGAGAACGTTATGGTTATAGATAAAAAATTTCGATAAATTTAAGCATATAGTTATCGGAATGATCGGCATAAGGTATAGTAATAATTATAATGTTATGGCGCTTAAACTTTAGCTAAGTGTTTGGCCGTGCTTCTCCTCCAATTAGTGCAAATAGGTTTTACGACTAACTACTCAGCCACGACGACTCATTTCTAAAAGCGCTCTGCTTTTAAATGGGTCGTAGGACATTCCAAACTGTCAAGAAGTCATAAATGATCCTATACAGTTGCACCTCTGTCTAGCTTTCGAGTAATAGATTTCCGTAATTCTGCCTGCGTGGAAAACACTCAGTCCGGAACCGCACCTCGCTAGTTCTACCGCTTTCTCGCTTCCGTGAATGTACCGATGCCTCGGTGCTCATTTTAGGGCAATTTCGTATTGATCAGAAATCGAGGCCAGCTCTCTCCTACAGTCATCCACTAGTTGAGATTGAATAGATGTAGAAGAGAGTGCCTAAATAGGCGCTGAGCAATCTCAGAAGATATTCACTATCGCTCTTGCGGTTACATTCTCATTAATGTACCTTACTGCTGCCTTAATTACAAACGTTACGCCCTGCATTGTCTAGTAGGCGAAGGGATAGCGCCTCTGATTCGTTCGTTATGACATGTTGCCTTCTTTCCTGAGACCAGTTACGTCGGCTCGGGAATTCCGTGATATGTTTTAAAGAGGATAGAGTGCGTTTAAGATGGAACTATGCCCGAAAGGTATTTTCCTTCAGATTCCCAAGGCACGCGCTGTTAGCTGCAGAGTTTTCGATAAATACATCTATCGGTAATAAACCGATCAGAGTATTTAGAAAATCCATTGGATGGAATCTTATTGCACTCATTACGCCGCTGACTTTTAAATTGCGCTTAGATTTTCAACTATGTAAACCTTAGTATGAGTCGGCCACCAAACCACCGCTCCATGGTTTTTATCTAACATTCTCCTGTCTTCATGGAGAGCCACCGAGGCTTTTCTTAAACACTCTGCAATGTTCAGCTTTCAATTACGTTTGCGGTCCTGAATAATTCAAAGAAATGTTATTTCAGTGGGTCCGGGATTAATTAATCTCCAGTATACCCGTATGAGACTAGTTGCGACTAATTAATGCCCAATTGTACTCGATTTAGACTAATCCCGGAATATTCTCTTTAGAGATCAAACAATTTTTTGCTAGGCTCCTATTAGCATTCAATTCGCTTTAATATTCATATTCATCTTGATAATTCTATTTTGAAATAAACTCTTTCAGTCATCAATCGCTGACACCTTTTATCAGCAACATCTCAATTGAGCAATTCAGCGATACAGTTGGACGTCATCCTCAAGCCCACGATGATGAATGGGGAGAGCTACTGGCTGAATTTAAGCCCGAATTGGATACGAAAATGTTAGTACATGGCTGGAAAGCGAACACGCAAAGTCGTTCTATACAATTGATACGCGACGCCTACAATCGACGTGGCAATATCAATGTGTTTGCCATTAATTGGCGCGATCAAGCGGATAGTATTTACTATTTGAAGCCAGCACGGTATTCGATTCATGTTGGTCGCGCTGTGTCGCGTCTCATTGACCTGCTGGTCGAGAAGCACTATGCCGATCCACAGCGCATACACTTGATCGGTCATAGTCTGGGCGCGCATATTATGGGTTACGCTGGTTCATTTGCCAGATACAGAGTTGGACGCATCACAGGTATGCCGGTTGCACTTTATCTCGCCTTGTAAAGAGTTTCAATATACATATGTACATATTTATGTTTTTCAACATCACAGGTCTTGATCCCGCTCGTCCAGCCTTCGAGAATTGCATTGGTCCGGAAAATCATTTGGATGCAACTGATGCCGAGTTCGTTGATATTATACATAGCTGTGCTGGCATTTTGGGTTTCCAGAAACCGATTGGCTCAGTCGATTTCTATCCGAATGGCGGCCGCGCGCCTCAACCCGGTTGCTCTGAGTTGGCAAAGATTTTTAGTAAGTAGCTACAAAGATTTACTTACTTAGGTTTGAGTTCAATGCTGTACAAAGTACATTATCCAAATTTTAATGTAAATTAGTAAGCAGCAAATTTTTAATTTAATAAAAAAACTTTTTTTTTTTCTTCTTTTAAGCTGGCTGCAGTCACGGCCGTGCTAGTGAATACTTCGCCGAGTCAGTTCACAGCGACAAGGGTTTCTATGCCAGTGCCTGCAACTCCCTGGATGATATGAAGGGGAAAAATTGTAGCGGAAAACGCATACTAATGGGCGATCCGGTACCGTTGCATGCAAGTGGCGTATACTTTGTGAAAACAGCAGACAAACCCAGCTTTGCATTGGGTGCGAATTCGTGATGGATGTACTAGCACCGTATGCACATACACTTGTGGTCCGCTGATTAAGTTAAGTGACATTTTGACCAGTTTTGGGTTTTTTTTTATTTTCTTTATTTTATGTTTATAAGTTTTTTTATACAAGTTTAGCACATTATATAAACAGCGCCACATAAATTCACATTTAAACTGAAATTGAAAACTTTTTTTTTGTAATTTTTAGAAAAGTTTTAGGTATGCAGATTTATATCCCGTTAAGTTTTGGTAGGTTGATTTTTAATGATTCTGTTTGCTCACGGTGCTAGGAATTTTTCTCCATATAAAAGTCATTGTCGAGCATACTTTATATGGGAGAAAATGTTCAACACCGTCAGCTGAAAAAATTAGCACTTTAACCCGCATAAATTTAATGGGCTACAAAACTATGTACCTTAAATATTTCTAAATTTTTTTTAAATTAAAAGTAAACAATTTGTGGTTGTAATTGTTATGCCGAATTTCCACTAGGAATTCAAATGACAAAAAATATATGCCAGTTAAAAAAATGCCACGTGTAAATGAACTTAACGACAATTTTTTTAATTTAATGACTTTATCATTTGTCATTTTTGCCATTTAGTGCCTAGTGGAAATCCAGCATTAGTTTGTTTAATTTTTATAATTTGTGTGCGAAGTTTGAAATGTAGATTTATGTGGCATTGGTTATGCAATTTGCTAAACTTTTATAAGCAATAAATTGTTAAAAGAAAAGTAGGCAAAACTGGTCGAAATGTCAATAAATTTAATCAGCTGACCACAAGGCTACATACATATGTATCTTCACATGGTATAAATTGTAAAAATAATGAAGTCGGTTAAAAATAAATCAGTGCACACAAAACCAGGGTACGAAAATAAACTATATTGTACGTTACTATTTCGTTTCGTTTATTACTTCAACAGTTCGGTACAATACGAAAACAAAACGGCTGAGTTCACTTTGGCGATAGTACACTACAGTAGTTTAGTAGTTACAGACGAAACAACAAACGAAATGAATCGTGCAGAGAAAAATATATATATGTATGTACACATATCCAATAACTAAACACAAAACAAATAGCTGCAATGAATAAAAAAATAAAAATGTTTTTTAATTGAATTGGATATGAAAATTTACAGAAAAAAATATTTTTCACGTAACTGAAACATTTGTGATATCACCCTATGGCACAATTGTCACAAACGAAAAGCAAACGTTTCTAGTTGGGGAAAATGACAGTGAATCTTACAAATTGTTTCTGACTATGTACAAAACTGTACAAAACCACAAATGATATGATGATCGATGAGCAAATGGGAATTGTCTCGTACAGTTTATTTTCGTACTCTGCACAAAACGAAAAATGTAAATCCGAAAGTGCCGCGATACTTTTTTTTATCAACCCAAGGCGGCAAATCCGCAAAATCTAATACATAAATAAATTCTCGTGTCACGGTGTTTGTGGTCGCACTCCTCCGAAACGGCTCGACCGATTTTTATGAAAATATTTGCGTATATTTGGTAGGTACGAGAATAGGTCGTAAAAACTAATTCATACCGCTAGTAAAGGGGGCGTGGCACTTCCCATGCAAAACGAATTTTTCATACTGAACATCTCGGGAAGTGTTCATGGTAGAGTACTTGAACTTGGTATGTAGATACATATATGAATGCAATCACATACTCATTAAAAAGTGGATGTTATTAGAAAAGCAAGGAAGCGCGCCGCCTTCCGAAGCTACAGCAACTTCTACGTATCTTTGTATGTATGTATATGTAACAATTCTGTGCGTGTGTTCGTGAGTGAACCGATTTTGTCCAAATTTTTTTGTCTCTCTGGATTTTTGGGTCTCTGGATAGTTTAGATTTACAGTTTGATCCGCCAAGTGGCTCGGGAGTCGAATTATTACTAAAAAATCGTGTTATGTTTCTTACGAAAATCATCAAGTGAGAAAAAAATGCCGTGAATGTCCGATTACATCGACATGCTGAACCACTGACTATGTCGAAATCCCGAATGTTCCGATTGGCATAATGGACTTGATTTGCCAATATTACTATGCGTTTAAGGCGCATTGGGGGACCTCAGGATTGAGCCATTGACCATTAAATCAACCATCAGTACCATTGCGCCCTTTGATAAGAGACTTAAGGTATTACCTATGGAATGAGTCAATCTTTATTGGATTTCTAAAGAACAGCGATACTCACCCATTTTGAAATTGCCACCAACTACACTATAAAGTTTCAGGTATAGATTCACCATAGAACCGGATCATTGTTGCCGTCAGGGAGTGTAGAGGAAAAAGTTCTTCAAATTTATTTCGTTGTGCGATTAACCGTGCTGTGAAAGGCCAGATCACTAAGACATTTCATGAAGTTCTTCGCGGGCATAACACTTCCGTTAGGTCATTTAAGACGGCAATGTAAATATGCCTATTGACACTCACCAAACCATAATCTTAGCAGATAAATATGCCACTGGAAATCGTGAACGTGAATTGGTGGTTAAAATATTGGACCAAAATATTTCAATAAAAAATTTTAATTTAAGGCGGTACGAAGTGCGCCGGGTCTGCTGAGATATTTATGAACACATTAGCAAGAAATAACTCTCGAAGTTGGTTTTTTAAATACACACATACTCGCACGCGCATATGTTACTTTATTAAACGAATTTTTCCAAACAGTCGAAGATTTTCCAACCATGTATTGCAAAATTTTTTAGCTAATCGAATAAATTAAATTTGAAAAAAGGATAACTTAAATTTAGATGACTGTTGTTCTATATACAAAAATCTATATGCAGAAATCGTTCTCTTTTTGGGCTCATAATGATTTAAATAATTTACCCTCGCAGACAGACTGGAGAGATTAAATTCGATGCCAAATTTATAGGAATTTATGTAGTAAACGAAAGCTTGCCACCCTCACTGCCTTTGCAGCTGATTTTTTATTTTTTTTTGTTTGGTTTGTATGTATGTATGCCTCGGATGTCGGATGTTCACACCGTACACACATCAATCCGTCATCCAGCGTACCAATAATATCTGCACACCAATAATATCTAACACAAAAAGCTGCATATGTAACTAATGCGTCCTTTAGAAGTTATACTGCAGATTGCCGCTGGAGAATTTCACGTGCGACACTTTGTCCGATGGCGAGTACTGCACGCCCAGCAACTTTTCGGTGGTGCTGCTGGCGCTGTCGATGGTGGGCGAGATGGGCGTTGTGGAAAAGCCATTGTTGGCAGTGATGGTGGCAGCAGTTGGCGCCGAGCCGAATTGCCGTTCAGCCAATCGTTGTTGTTGTTGCATGTAGTTGGCATAGTCGGAGGTGGTGTAAATGGGGCTGTTCTGTTGATTGCCGCCAGCAGTGAAGGCGGCTGCCGTTGGGCGATTTTCGCTGTACAGTTGACGCAGCAGCTGTTGTTGGTATTCTTGCTGGCTAACATATTGTTGTTGTTGTTGTTGTTGTTGTTGTTGCTGCTGCTGCTGCTGTATTTGTTGCTGCTGTAATTGTTGTTGCTGCTGCTGTTGCTGGTAGGCAAGGTAAGCGGCTTGCAGTTGATCGACCTGATTTGGCTGTGCAGACTTCGGCGCCGAGTAGCGATGCGGCTGCGGCTGCGGCTGCTGCTGCTGTTGCTGCAGCAATTGTTGTTGTTCCAATTGGTTTTGCAGTTGCTGTTGCTGCTGGATTTGCTGCAGTGTTTGGGCGTAATGCTGTTGGGCGAGCTGTTGGCCAGCGTAGGCGGGTGTTGTTGACTGAGTCGTCGAGTACTGGGGGTTGTATGGGTAAGACGACTGTGAATATTGCAGCGCCTGTTGGTAGGGCGACTGGGTGTCAGCGGCGTTGGAATACTGCAACGAGAAAAAAAAGATTAATATGTATAAAGTTTTGATATTAAATATGCGTAAAAAAGAATAAGTGGCAAATGTCAAAGGACATTCAACTTAAAAGCTGGTACTTTCGAAGGCTCACCTCGGACGTATACATCTCTTTGGTGGAATTGTTATGGGTGTGTGCATACATATGTATGTATTTATGTATGTATGTTGTTGAAGAGCTTTTTATTTTTCTATTTTCCACGAAACTTATGATTTTGAGCAGACTTTTAAGCGGATTTTTATTTGTTTTAAATATTTATGGAACAAAACAGAAATAGAAATAAAAAGCAAAGTTCTACGCTTTGCTTGCGAGACATTTGAACTCTTGTTTTATTTTTATTATTTTTGTAAAGTACTTCTATAAAGCATCGTATATACTTACAAGTATGGAATCCTATGCCCCTTTTTGTCTATTCTCTTTCTAACAGCGGACGTGCCTGCCAAACAGCGGACGTGCCTGCCAAATTGAAAAGCATGATGGCGGCAGTGTTTGACAGGCACGTTCGACGATGCGAACGGCAATGGAAGGTAAGAAATGGAAGATGGATCACATGAGAATGAAAGAATTATGAAATAGCAGAATGTCGAACCAAAACGAATTTCAAAAATCTGACAATGCGAATGACGTCAAAATGAAAGAAATGCAAAATACCGAAATGTCGAAACAGAAGAAATAGATGACAGGCACGTGTTCAAGGGTTTCGTGCAACAAAAAGAGTTGTTGTGTTGCGCCATTCAATATTAAAAAAAGTAATGTGGTTAAATACGCTTTTCTATTAAGTTGAAAAATTACATATTTCGCCAGCCAAAAAGTGTATAAATAAATATATAGCATATTGCTATAAGAATTATTTATAAAAACGGTACATGCTTATGACCTTATTCATAAAAAAGAAAATAGATGTAAAGTAACATTAAAAAAATCGATTTGCTTACTTTTTAAGAATTTGGGAAAAACATTTAACTAAAGTTTTTGTGCACCCATCTCTTTTTCTGTTTATTATTTTCAAATTTTTCTTTTCCTTAATACTCATTGAGTTTTCATTTACACCCAGCAAAAATCAAAATATTTTATAAGAAATTTGTTGACCGTTTCTCGCACACTTCTCTCATGCCTTTTTATCGTAGTTATTATTCTGTTGACATCTAAATTGCCATAAATTTTATGTTGTTGCCAATACATTGTTTTCCGGCGTTTCCTCTGTGAACTTTTATAACTACATTCATAAAAATATTACTAATTTTGGTTTATAATTTTTAAATAATTAATAAACAATAAAAAGTTAGTCACAATTTTAGTGAATGGTTCTTGCAAATAATATTATTTTATGGTTAAAATGACTTGATCGCCGTCAGGAGCTTATCTACTTTTTTGCCAAAACCAAAGCAGACGGGAAGGACAAAAAGTTGTTCATTAACGATTTGTCTGAAATATCGTTCTTGAAACGCGTTACTACTCACTAAATTTGTAAAAATAAAATTTTTTCACTTAATTGTTATATTCTCATTGTGGTAAATTTACTCATCATCCCAGCAGGGCGCAATCTTCTTTTCTATGATTATGTTATCTCTACTTTGAATTTTTAAATGCACTGAAATTCACTAATACCCACTTCCGCAAAAATCACCTTATTTCGTATTTCCTTTGTTAAAAGTTATTGTAAATCACATATTTTTATTGCCTTATTAATAAAAAATAAAAATTTTAAAAAGCTTTTTAAATTGCCGTTTACAAACATTTTCCAATTTATAAGCCTTTTTAAGTTACTTTATTGTTTATGAATAAGGCTATTACAAATTAGCACAATCAAAACACGTTCCTTATCGAAAAATTTATTATTAAGAAAGTTTGCTGTTCTCACATTTTCTTTCAACATCCAATTCGACTTTTATTACTTTTTGTACAGATATGTCATCGCCGCCAGGACGGCGCAATCTTGTATTCTATCTTTCTTGTCAAATATTCATTTAGATCTAACTGTCATACTACTATTAATGGTAACCATGAATATTCATTAAAATCGTTTCAATTCGGAATAAAAGTAATTTACATACTGCTAGTGTAAATATATTTTTTAATACAAACTACCTTTTTTAATTCTAAAATAAATCGACAATCTCAAGATTTATAAGAAAATTGTCTTCAAAAAATACGTAACAAATCATCCCTGTTGATATCATAATTCAAATGCAAATTAGAATAGAAATTTTGATACAAAAGTTTTTCCGCGATATTCATCATACAAATTTATCATCTTACTTGTCCGTATGTCGCTCTGGAAAGAAATATATTTTAACTGATATGTTTTCTTGAAAATAAATACAAATTTACCTATTTTTTCCAACGGCAGGCACGAATATGATATTCAAAATAGAAGCAATGACAACGAATTTTACACACATTGTTGTATTTTAGCGCAAAACGATAAGTTTCACAAATATTTTGAATTATTGCCTGGAACATACACATTTATCGTTATTATTGTAAATGCAAGACTTGGCACGCATTTTTAATTTCTTTTTTATTGAATTCAAATGAATAAAAACACATTTTTCTAAAATATTTCTCAATTTACATTTTAAAGTTTTTTCTGAAACTTGAATGTAACTCTGTGAGGAGAATGAGAGAATTGAAAATCAGGTGATCTCAGCTGTTTTCAAATGTAAACAAACAAAATGGCGCTTTCCATACTTGTAAGCCTATACAATGCTATAAAGTCAACTGGAAGGCATGTGACCATACTTAGCAAGGCGTATTTAACAAGGTGGTGTTGGCCGTATATAAGTAAAAAATTACACTAACAAATTATACGCTGATGTCCATACTGTCATTGGTATGAGTTACAACAAACACATTATTTTGACGTAATGGCCTCCACATCGAAAAACTCAGCTGTCGCCCCAACACCACATTGTTTAATACACCTTGATACTTAGGATTTATAAAAATTTACACATTGTTGACTTGTAATCTCAGTGCCAATTAAAGCAACGGTGGATTGTTTCATTCTACTGCATATTCTTGATAAAAAAAAATTTATAATAATAATAATGGATTGGCGCTTACACATTATTTTAGTGCTTCGCCGAGTTTCCCCTCCGATTTATGGCGTGTGCCTCGTTGTGCTGAATGGACGAAAATGCTTTTATAGGAGTCGGGGATGCTTTATCTTCTAGTATTATTACCGACTTCCAGTTTCGCCCGGATGCGGGTTAAACCGACCAGAAGTCCATTTTCTTAAATAGGACACGCATTTTTCACCACAAATTTGGATTCATTGGACCAAAATACTTGTATAGTAGACTTTTTTCAGGAATGGTCTTGCGGTTAAAATAATTGACTTCCGGTCGAAACCTTAGATTCAGCGTCCCCGACTTGGTGATTCATATTTTTTAGTTTTCCAGTAAGAAAATTTTCGTCCATTTTAGGAGTCCAGGACGAGTTGAAGTTCGACAGTAATTTAGACCTTAAAAAAGGCACTTCGGAGAAAAAGTTTCAAACGAAAGCTGCGTATTTTTATCCTCAGAAACCGCATCTGTAGCAAAAATATGTATGTCTAATAAAAAAAAAAAATTGGATTTTCAGACAGTTTAACCCACTTGCCGGCGAAACTGGAAATCGTCAATACCACCAAAAGATAGAGCATCTCTGATTTGGTAGGTAATATTTTTGCGCTATTCAATAAAAGACGTTTCCCTCCCTTTTAAAGGAGGTGGATGGGTAATCTAGGACACCCTGTATAAATAGCTGAAGGGATGCCTTCAGATCAGCAAGATCAGCTGCGAAAGGCTTCACACAATCGACTCCATCAGACCAACGAGTTAGAAATATACAAAATTCGTTGTTTGTGTTTTTCTTTAAGGAACATTCATTTATCATACTCTCGGATTAATAATTTTATTCCGTTTTTTTCCAAATATGTATAACTATTTTTTAATCTTCGGCGAGAATAGATTTATTTTTAATTTGGCCTGGTTGGAGGCTGAAGTCTGACCTCATTCGCTTAGGTGGTGAAGAGGAGTATTAGGCTCTGTGCTGTGAAGCAGCGAGAAAGTTCGGATAGTTAGACGTTTATTTTGAGCAGAGATCATCAATTCCATTTCCGGGCGCCAATGTGTATCGATCAGCCGTCAGTGTATGAAATGAAGGAAGCTACCTCCGGTGGCTGAGGAAGCCTTGAAATGTATAAGTTACACAACAACGGGGATGTTTAGTGGTTTGATCTTGAAAGTTTACTGACAACTGTCGGCTACTCAGGCAATTTGCTGACCACCTATTTAGTCATCACAATGGGATATGACATAGAAACCTAAAACCCACTATTTCGGCCAAACGAAAATTAAATCGAACACCCTTTATGTAGAATATTTCGACTGCGAAAACAATTCCAGCAAATATTATGTAACCAGCGGATGTTTGTTTTTTGAAGTAGGTAAAATCAAGGCTGATAATCAATAAATAACCGCGCAAATGTGTTAATTCTTTGAACTATTGCATGTCGGACGCAATCACGCCATTAGCTACAGATCAGTAATTAAACGCCACCAAAGAGATGAGTCGATAGCAGTTTGCAGTTTACACGAAAGCACGAAACCGACAGATGCACAGTAATGCACTTAATTGTAATACGAACAAAAAAAATATTCACATATACTGAACATAAATTTAATAAATAATTGTTGCATGCATCAGTTGCTTTAGAGCACTGACAGCACATTGAATGAAATAGGAGTATCTTGCAAAAGGTCCTGGGCTGCTTACTTGGGACACCACAAAATGAGCGGAAGACGAGCCATATATTTACAAAGAGGTCTTGCCGCTATTTGCATTTGGAGCAGCTTGACGCTGTTGCTGGCAGCAGCACCAATGCCAAAGGTAAGCACTTTAAATGTATACATATGTATAATAAAGACATGCCTCTAAAAAGGTTTCGCTTTCGCAGAACTTTTTCGATCAAGGCAATCAAGTGGCTGAGTTCTTTCAAAATGGCGCTGAACTGCGCGATCATGTCGGCTTCAAGCTACCAGAAACGAGCATAGACTGGCATGAGGAACTTCGACGTAAGCGTTCGCTCGATGGCAGTGAGCTGACTTCCGAAACGGGGCCGAGAACTTCATTTACGCAACTTATGCGCAAACTGAATGCACCTTGCCATGGTGGTGGCGCGGGTGGTACTGGTGGTGGCACCGATACAGCTGACGGCGGTGATGATATTGTCGATGAAGCGCGTCGTCGCATAGCACGTATGAAAGCGCGTAAGGCAGCGGCCGGAAAGAAAGCGAAAAATTCCAAATCGAAATCGAAATCGAAAAGTAACCAACGTCGTCGACGGCAAACGGAAGCTGATGATCTCGAGGGACTGGGCGAGGGCAAGGAAAGAGATTTGAAAGAACAGTTCATGGCCCATCTGCAGCAATTCTCTGAAAATATGAATCGTGTATACGAACATATAGCATCGTCGGTGATGGATGCGATGAAGCGAATGGAAGAGAGCTTTGGAAGTAACGGCGGGCAGTCGTAAGATTTTGGTGGAGACATTTATGTATGGCGTGGAACAGTCATTGGAAATATTCAGCATACATACATACACATATATTTATTTTTAGCAAAACCAACATACATACATACTTATGTATATATGTACATATATTGTGTACTTAAAAATATTTGCACATTTTCTCATAGAAAAAAATTATTCTACTCGAATTTAAAAGAAAATTAATGTACAAAATCTAATAAAATTTTTAATTCAAATGAAGAAAAGTGAACTAACTTTCTCACGGTGGGGAATGATACAATAAATCACAGGTATATCACCGCGCGATAGTAAATTTTACACACAAAAAAATTAATATATTCGTGAAACTATGGGGGTAATTTATAGTAAAAATGCGTACTTGGTTTTTCTCTTCCACTTCCGGATATTTTTTTAGAAGGACTCGGAAATTTTAAAAATATGATTATTTCAAAAAATTATTTAAAAAATTCGATGCAATAAAGGATAACAATAGTGAAACCGCAGGATTTCAGGCCTATAAGCCTCACTTCATTCTTTGTTGAAACTCTAGAGGGACTCATCGACGAATATATTCGACGGAATATAAAAACTGGCAACCTGTCCCCGAACCAGCATTCATATTCTAAGGGTAAATCCGTGGCCTTGGATAGCGAGGGTGCTTTCAACAACATCTACCCGAAGTCTATTGTTAACTCCCTTCTTATGGCGGAGATGCAGCGGGGTCTGGTGGATTTTCTTGGGCTCCTTCTCGAAAAGAGAACTATTCTATCCGAACTGGGGGATGGTTCCATTACATAGTATGTGACCAGACACACCCCCCAAGGGGGCGTTCTCTCCCCTCTACCCTGGAATCTAACAGTGAACACCCTACTTCTAAGCCTAAAGGGCACCGGTTGTCAAGTCATAGCGTATGCCGATGACATAGCAATCATGGCAACGGGCAAATATCTTCAGGTCCTGATTGAGTTATGAGCAAAATGAACTCGGTCTGGTAAACATCTGGTTCAAGGAATGTGGACTTAGCGTCAATCCTACCAAGACAGAAATGGTACTTTTCACAAGAAAGTATAAAACTCCCTTATTTAAGCCTCCCACCCCAAATGGGGTGGCACTTACTCTCTCAACTGAGGTCATATACCTTGGAATTATTCTAGACAAGAAACTTGGCTGGAAGCGAGACATTGAAAGCTCCAGAAAGGTCAATACCGCCCTTTATGCCTGTAAGACGGTTATAGGTACGGTGACTATCCGTTCTGTTTTTTGCAGGACCGTACTGTTTTTCAAAGGTAGGTCCTGCGTAGTTTTCCAAACCTGAAAAACCTGAAAATGTACTGCTTTTTTCCAAGCGTCCTGCATTTGTCCCGCATTTTATCCGTTATTTTAAAATTATCGGACAATGGATGGATTTTTTCAAAAAAAGTGTTTCTTGGTACTTTTCGTAGCTTTTCTTCAATATCTCGTGAAAAAATCTCCCAATCAACGTAAGCGACTTACATCTCGAAGGGTATTGATGTGCCTCTTACCAAAATATATAACTTGTGGCGACTTCAATGAAAATTTTTAGTGCTACAGGCGACCATTTGCATTTTGTCGTCAAAGTCAAAAAAAGTGAGATTTTCAATCAAATACGCAGTTTTATTTGATTATTTTTTTCATTAGTTTAAAAATTCGATAAAGAAGATATATCATTATAGTAAATTTTAAGCCAAAGATAATGAATATCGGATTAGAAATGTAAATGCAATGAAGTGAAATCTGCACAAATTATAATCTTTGTAAAGGGCACATAAATACCTTTGTAACTCGTCGTTTACGTCGATTCATGACGTCGATTTTTGACAAATAACTGCGAAAAGTACAAAAAACAAAAAAAAAGGGTATTGTTTTCGTTTTGAACGACTCAAAATTTGCCTATAAAATAATCTTTTAAAGATTTTCACTTTTCGTGTAAGCTGTTGTAATTATAATATGTTTCCTATACTTTTATAAATATTCATGTAAAAAAAGATTAATATCGATGAAGAAAACGTGATTCGTTTTTAAAGTTTAAAATGTATTAAGAATTTAGAATCATAAATACTCTTTTGATATTTTTATACTACGTAAATATATGTAGGCATATTTTTGAAAAATTGTCCTTCATTTTGAATCCATATTTATGGTCACCGTAGCTATAGGGCAAAAACCGGGAATGAAGCCACACATAGTACACTGGACGTACACAGCTGTGATAAGACCCATTCTTTTCTACGGGCTCATCGTATGGTGGCCTGTGCTAAACAACACTTTGTCCAGAGGCAAGGTGGAACGGGTGCAGAAGACGGCTTGCATCTCTGGAAATAATGTTAAATATTCCACCTGTGGATCTTTACGGAAAATTTCGTGCCAGCTGCACTAAACCTCAGTTTTCGCTTAACGGACCATTGTGTTGTTTTTCAAGTAGAATTAAACGCCATAATCGAGGCGGCTCGGTGGCTCATAACCTCCGTCCCTCCAGAACGGCCTATTGCTATCTATTCTGACAGCCAGGCTGCTATCAAATCTCTCAATTCTAACGGAACAACGTCCAAAGTAGCCATAGAATGCAGGAAGATTCTCAACATGCTGGCATTAAAATGCTCCTTGACTGTTGACTGTTGACCCGGCTGGACCGCCCCTCTCTCAGATTAAATAGTAGTCGGGGTAATCCCCGGACACTGCCCGATGGGCGCACACGGAAAAAGGCTAGGATACCCCACCAACGATTTTTGTCGCGGTTGCAGGGATGAGGAAGAGGTGGAGACCGTTGAACACTATCTCTGCCATTGTTCCGCCTTGGCTAACACGCGCAACCGATTCTTCAAGAAGTACTTTTTAAGTACTTAGATATCTTCAAATGGTAAGCATTTGTGTATTTAGTACTCACACTGATACTTTAAATACTGTTTCAAGCATATTTATTACATTTACAGGAATCTAACAAAAAGTTATACCCGTGTGAGAAAATTTAAAGCTAAAGCCAATGTAGTCCAATTTTCAATCCACTATCACTTTAAATCTACAAACCATTATCTGTTTCCGCACCAATTTCCGCCAATTAAAAATGGCAACAATCTGTAGTGGATTTTCATGTTAAACGAAAGTATCTATGTATGTATGTATTTACACAATAATGTAAAGTATTTCGCTAGCGATTTATAAAACGCTCATTAGAATGCTAACACATTTAAATCTCTAATTGAAAGTAAACCCGCACAGTGGCTATTTCTACCTAACACAGCCATTTCATAGCCTTCAGCGTACGCGAGCGCGATTCCTTCACAACGTGAGCAATTGAATATCCCGCAGCATTTAGCGCGTTGTGACGTAAATCGGCTGAACAGTTAGTTTGCACTCGGTAAATGCGATAATTGGACGAGAGAATGAAGGAAACTCAATTAAATTTGTTACGCATTTCCTTTGGCGTTTTAAGTTTCCTTTTGTATTTAAAAGCTACAACAACAGCAGCGCTAACAGCTGCCGAATGGAGACAACGAACTCCAGTACAAACGGTATGTGTATATAGAGTACAAACTTACATTCAGCTTAAAGAATTTAAAACTAAAAAAAATAAAAAGTAAAAACTATATAGAAACATTAATTACAGTTAGCTGCACAGCCGCGAAGCAATGCCCTACAGCGCAACGTACGACGCTTGCAGCCTTTTACTCGTAATGCTTTATTAACTCCCACTGGTCAAATAGCAGCTGAAGCTGAAGCTGCACACCGCCACAATGATGAGCACTCAGCGCTAACGAAAACGCTTGCAAATACCCACTCGCGTTTTGTGCGAGCAGCAGATGATGCCGGCGGCGAGGCGGACAGCGGTGCGACTTCGCAGTGGTTCAGCGATAATTTTGGACAAATGATGCAAACGTTGGTTGAGTTGGCGGGAATTGTTATTGGTGCTATCTGGAGGCTTTTTGCCTAGCAATTTAATGGCGATACGAATGAGTGAGGCTATGTAGAAAGCAGCAGGTGAAAGGAGTCAAGGCTGAATGTAAATACATACATATGTAAGTTTGAATTTCAATTGCTGAAGGTTATGCAAATACTATGTGAATGGATGGAGCTTGCTGTAATTAACGTTAATTCTTTGATTACTTTAAACGCTGTTCGGTACTTGATAACGTTTATTTGTGGTGTAAAATAAATGGAAATAAAATGAAAATTCAGCGCTTATCTAGTTAAATAAGGTCCTATAGTAGAATATTAAACTGGGGTTTAAAAAATTGTATTAAATCGTGGTATTTAGTTGGTGGTCCTCGTCACTATTGGCCAGTATAACTGTAAACTAGAGTTAGCTGGATATTAATGCGCCTTTTGTGATACCACAGATTTCTCAAAAACCACATTTCTTGAACAAATTTGTGGAGTCAGCAAATCTGATCAGCTGCCATATGTTCAATTTTTCCGCTGCGCATAAATCGTTTGAAAAGCCTTTGCCCAAAAGTGCAGTACATTTGCACAGCAAGTGCCTGATAGGCACAGGTTCTTCTTCTTCAACGCAGCTTCAGCAGAAGTCATTGTGGGGCACTGCTAATCACTTTGCACGTCTCACTAAAAGTTTGTGCCCATGGTTAACGACATTTCTCTACTTTGCAAGGATAAAAGCTCTCGCGATTTGTTCATGTCCCACTCTGGCCACACCTTGCCAGTGCCTTTTTTAGGAACAATTCCCCAGTTTTGAGCTTGCAGGCAGCGATTGACCAGGCTGGTGAAAATGGTGTGGAAGTACCCTTTCATGCAAGATGGTCTGCTTTCTCGTTTCCCGGTATGTTGCTATGTCCTGGTACCCGTACCGGATGCAAGGTGAACTGCTCTACCTGAGGACGGAATCGGGGTATAAATTATATTTGTTTTGACCACAGTAGGACGCAGAATGTCAGCAGATTCTTGTATAGCCGCTAGTACGGCCTAAAAGTCACTGAAATGGTATACTCCTCTGCCTACTCTATAATGAAGCTTGCATCCCTCAGTATAAAACCGAATGGATTTTTCATGCCCCGGGACTCCTTCTGTCCATAATTCTCTACTTGGTATCTCTATTTGATGCCGTTTACTGAAAGTGGTCGTTGGTTTGCGGTAGTCCGTTTTGTTCATCAAATTTTGGTTTTAAAAAGTGGTAGTATGAATACCTCTCTGTGCTTTCCCACTTTTTAGTTCCTGTATGCCCACTTAATCTGTTGGCAAGATGATCAGGATGACATTCATGACCTCTGTGGGTGTTGTGCGCCAGTCAGTGTTTATAAAGATTAGCACCGTTTGGATTGTGATATTTTAGGCCTAAATTGGATAAACGTAGATCTCACATTCTCCTCCGCTTGGGGCAACCACCGCTCCGACTCACAATTGGGAACCCGCATCATTACAATAGCTGCCGTGATATGAAGGAATGTCTGGCTGAAGTGGATTAAGCCAGCATCAAGCATTCAACAGAGCTGCAAATGGGTAATATTTCTAAGATAAAAGAAGGCAGACAAGGAGTCTGTAACAGACCATCACATCGAAACTATGATGGCCTAAGTACAAATTTTTCCTGTGCTTTATGAGGGCAGCCAAGATAACCCAGCCTAACCTTATAATGGTATATTTTGGAGATAAAAAATTAAAATGTTGGTATAATAAATTAGAGTGCTTAATTTTTACTAAATTCGTTAATTCGTTAAATAAATTTTTCTATAAAAAACGAGAATGGCTTTATTTGAATTAGTTTAAGAACGTATACTCTGTTGATTTAACCACCATCTAAAAAAATCAAAAAATTACGTTTAATTCATCATACTTTGAATAATTAGTCTTAAAGTAACAAATCACACCTGTATGTAAAAGATTTTCGTGGAATAGGCGCAAAATCTGACCAACGGCGCGTATACGCAACGACATGTTGTTCGTGATGTTGAGAAATCAGGGTTTGAAATGTTCATCATCGCCTAGCCATCGTCAACTTCACGAACGAAGAAAAATTACACTGAAGATGGCACATCGCCAAAACCCCGTTCGTCTCCAAACAAGTTTAACAAGATATGACGGAAATTCGTTCCAAAATACATAATGTAGAAAAATATTGGGGCGTATTCTTGGTTTCGTACGAATCGCAAATCATGAATTTTTTTTATCATTTTCTATGTATATATATTTCAAATTTTAGATCATACGAAAACAAAAATATGCCTCATTATATTTTTATATTGACCAACTCGTAAAGAGAGGCTTAAACAGAAAATACCGTGGTTCCTTAGTTAATTGGGAGCTCTCCCCAGCGTACTGGTAAAATTGTATTTAATTTAACCAATAATTGAATTTTCAGATATGAAATAACAAATAGCTTTGGGGATTTTCAACGGTACTTGGTTTTAACTTTTAGCAATAATTAAATTTTGGTTTAGTATATGCATGAAAATTATTTTGCATAGAATGCATTTATTTAGTATCAATAAAAAAATGCACTAAATACATACATACATTAATATACATATGTGCATTTATATATACACACATACAGTGACGGGCAAAACTGTAACATGGTGTAACACTTTTTATTTCAGCCATCGCTATCTTTCCAAGTTCTAACGACTTTCATACTTTTGTTGTATATTCTTGTTGGTACATCCCTACTCCCTCTCTCATAATAATTTGAAGTCAATGCAACAACAATAAAAAAATCAGTAGACAAAAATGTAAATTAAGGCAGATGTTACAGTTTTGCACTCACTCTCAGTTTTGCATTTGACAGTTATCTCTTACGTAGTTGGAAGTCAGATGACTTTTTTCTATATTGTAATTTATTGAAGAAGTGATCACCAGTAAATAACATAGTTAATCAGGAACCATAAATGTAAATAATAGATTTACTGCGGAAAGACGGAACCGCACGAAAAGTGGCAAACAATTTTGGAATTTGCTACTTGAAAATGTTAATACTGAGAAAAAATATAGCCTAAAGTATTCCCAAGGACAAAGGAAGTCCGTTAAAAAATATTACGGTACGATATCTTGTGAACTTAGCAGCAAGTAGCGATGCAGCCACTATTACAGAAGCGCTTAAGGTATTAAACTTTAATGCAAATCAATAGACAGCGAGGCGAAGAATTGCCAAATTGAGCGCAAAGGCATCATAAAAAAGAAAAAAAACAAATTTGATCATAGTACATGTGCGAGTGTGGCAGCGTTTCGCTGCATCGCACGAAACCCGGACCGTTGCCTATTGGGATATGTTAGGCCGTTCAGAGTGCAATAAAAAACATATTTTTCAGTTTCAATAGAAGGTTATTTGGTCTGACAAGACTAAATTAATCGCTTTCAATCAGATCGCCGGGCATGGTATTGGATCAAAGACCCAAATTAAGCCCATGCGCATCATGTAAGGCAAACTGTGAATCACAGTGGTAGGATCTTAATTGTTTGGGGTTGTATTTAAAAAATTTTGTTGGTCCGTTAGTACGCATAATGCGTAAGGAACAGTATCTGTTCATATTTCAACAAAATTTGCAAGATTTAGTAAAAAAAAATAGAGTTTCTGCTGAAAAATCACGCAAAACATACTGCATTTGTTCGCAAAGCCTGGATACAAAAGCAAAAATTTGTAAATTTGAAATGACCTCCACAATCCGCGTACATGAATCTCAAAGAGAATTTGCGAAATCAACTAAAAGCACAGCTTAATAAGTATCAAAGTCCGTAAAATCGAGTACATGAGCTGTGAAAGCAAACTAAGGATATACCTCCAGAATTTTTACAAAGATACAAATAAGGTATGCCAAATCGCACCCAGGAACTGAAACAAGTAAAATAGTACTGAACATTGTGTTAGTAGTTCTTTTTTTTCGTGAAAATTGTTAAAAAGTTCTTAAAAATATATGAGTGCAAAACTGTAACATCTGCCTTAATTTACATTTTTGTCTGCTGGTCTTTTTATTGTTGTTGCATTGACTTCAAATCATTATGAGAGAGGGAGTAGGGATGTACCAACAAGAATATACAACAAGAGCATGGAAGTCGTTAGAACTTGGAAAGATAGCGATGGCTGAAGTAAAAAGTGTTACACCATGTTACAGTTTTGCCCGTCACTGTATGTTTTTGCTATATCTGCCTTTCAACCACATTTACTTACTCATAACTGGCCGCAATCGAACATGCAATATCTTGGCCAACCAATGTTGGATACCAGCAATTAAATGCCAATCAGTAATTATAATTTGTGGCATATTGTTTTAAACGAAATTGACTTTATTAAAATTTAATGTAATAGAAGAAGATTGTATGCTACTGACGATATGGGCATTATTTTGAAAATATTTGGTTGTGCAATATGAAATGCGAACACGCAAATGAAGAACAAACATATGAGGGTTTTGGTTTTAAATTTGAATAGTTGTTTGTATTGCTGACCAGATATCACAACGCTATTATATTAAATTGAATGTACCATAATAAAATGCAAACACACTTATAATTACTACAGTAAAAGATAAATAAAAAGTATTTAAAAAGATCCAAAGTAAAATTAGAATTTACATACATACATATGTAAGTAGTTAAAATGTTAAAAAAGAACCTTTTGCAAAGAAATATTTCAAGGTACAAAAATATTTTTGATCAGTACGCAGAGTTCAGAATACATTTACTAAAAAAACGTTCTTTGAATTCCATGCCTTTCTGTGAATCGTAAATCGGCAGGCAATTGCCAACCCCCGTTTTTATTTCTGCGATGAAACAACAATTTCTCAAAAATATACCTACTATCACCATTCATCCCCCTTGTTGAAGTACCATTTTTTCGAAGAAACAATTATTGAAAATGGTTAACGTGGTCAGTTATCCGGTAAGGTACATAAGAAAAAAAATTTCGACGAATTAACAGTTATTTGAAACACAACAACGAAGAAAGTAAAAATATTCTCAAAAAACCCTTTTAATCAGAAATGCCGGAATTCTGCTAGGCAATGAAAAAAATTGGTTCGATTTAAAGAATTCCACGTGGCAACAACCTTAATGACTATTTTTCGAAACATAATCATAAATATGGCGAATGTAATAGCACCGACAGACGGCAGATTTGATCGGGTTCAACTTGCTAATTCGGAATTATCACTTGAATTAACTGCAGTTGGTCCGGATTAAGCCCTAGGAACAGA